GCAGCGCCCCCCCCCCAGCAGCACACCAGATCCAAAGGTTAGAAAGCAAGCAAATGGAAAAGCAAAAACAAAAAGATAAAGGAGAACAGCTGCCAAAGCAGAAAAGCAACAAAAGCAAAGAGCAGAAAGACAAAAACACAAAAACCAGAAAAGCAACAAAAGCAACAAAAGCAGCATAAGCAGAAAAGCAACAAAAGCAGAAAAACAACAAAAGCAAAAAAGCAGCATAAGCAGAAAAGCAGCAAAAGCAGAAAAACAGCAAAAGCAAAAAAGCAGCAGAAGCAGAAAAGCAACAAAAGCAGAAAAGCAACAAAAGCATAAACATAAAATCCAAAACTAAAATACAAATAAATACCGGAAAAAAAGAAACGCCCCTCCTCCACAAAAAACAGCCCATGTGTTCTGCCAATTCTGCCACACGGGCGGATGGACTCATGGACTCAAAGATTACTCTCAGCGCGAACTGACTCAGGGGACTCAGAATTGTTTTCGCAAATGCCCAGCCTGGACTCGAAGAAACACTTCGCTTGTCCTTGAGGAAGCCCTCCACCGTGCGTAAGGCGTCCTGAAGCCCAGCAACGTCATCTGGCGTCACATGCCGCAGACAACCAGAATGCCTGGGCTTCTTTATGTGTCATTCCATTCGTTTAAGTTCCTTCCCCAGGCGAAGACATGGAAAAAGTACCACCCGGTGGCTGAGAGGTACCTTCTCTTTTGATTGATCCAGTTTCGGGGTGAAACCCTGAGTGCCTCTGACTGTATGAGCGTTCAACTGTGTTCCATCAACCAAATTCTTGGGGTCGGTACCTTTCACCATCAAATTTCACAGTAAGCCGTCGGTGCATTGCACCTGTATTCCTGTCATGTCTTAATCAACTGCATCCTTCAACTCCTTCTTCTCAACTTCAAGCTCCTGTTCAGGCAAAGGCAAGGAAGTCCTCCGTGAGGAGAAGAAGACCCTTGAGAAAGTTCAATGGGGGACCTCCCCTGCAACCTTGAAAGAGTGCCCCTGTATCACCTGACCTTCACCTGTTTGCATGCGATTGAATTTCTTCGCTAGCTCAGGTCCTGCACCCGACGCTTTAGAGTGCTCTGTTCCGCAGCAACATCATGCATCACTTTGGCCTTGGAGATGAGATGTGAGGAGAAGTGGCAGAACCCTTATGGGAGACGAGGATAGGTATCTTGGGATTGATTTTCAAAAAGAACCCAGCTCCAAGGAAACATACTACCCCCCAAATGACATAGGTGCAAGATATGGTTCGGTAAGAAGGCATGGCAAAAGTGCATGACACAGGATTTGTGGATACCTCCACAAACATGCTAGGGTTGATGTGGTGCCTTTTTTGCATGGAATCGAAAGTCTTCCAATCCTTATGTGAATATATAGATATACATATATAGATATATAGATATATACATATACACAAATATATATACGTACACTCAATATCCTTTTCGATTAGGACTATGTTTTCACATTTTGAATGCTCGTGTTGCGTCTTTCTCACATTGCCAGGATATTGCTCAAGCACCGCACCCTCGATGACATAGGACTTATGCACATCCTCACAAAAAAAAAAGACTGACGACGCCTTAGTCACTCAGACCTAGTATCAATGCCCTTAGAGCATGTTTCGGGGACCTTTGGTAGGACCAGGATGCATCTTTCCCGAGACGGGACGCATCGTCGACGGCATGAAGGTTGGACTCCGGCAGAGTGACAGCGACCCAAGACATGGGGGGTTGTCTCTTTCTCTTTTGGACATCCCGAAAAGTGACTGGAAAGAAGCATCAACATCACCATTCTGAGAAACCTGGAGATGCCACGATGACTGGGTCCCCTCCCTTCAGGCCGAGCACCAGCTCATCGCGGACAGCCTTTGTATCCGCTTCCAGCTTGCCCTGATCAGATGCTGAAACTGGAGGAACAAGGCATCTCCTCACAAGACCTTTTTCGGAGTGGGTCAAGACCCTGTCCCTCTTATACACCTGTCAGAAGGAATCTTCACCGTCCGCCTATGTGAGATCTTGACAGACCCCTCCAGGCTGGGCTGGTTTCTTGGAAGCGCGTACTCCGACAGCCCTACGAAGAGAGGCCCATGCGCCTGACTTGTGGGCTTGTGATTGCAACAATGTCTTTACCCAGGGGTGTGATCAGCGCAATAAACCCCAAGGAAGCATCCTGCCTTCTCTTCGTGCAGTTTGCGGTTCTTGGCTTCAATGTCTTCCTTTTCTTTCTCCACTTGCTGCAAACGGCGCTCAGCCACTTTCATGGTCGCCTGAAGTTCCTTCTCTTTCAGGATGACTTTCCCTTGGCATCAAATCGGACATACAATCTTAACAACCTACGCTTCGCCGAGGGTTCGTGCATCTGAGGTCGTCACGCTTGGCTTCCTGATCTTTCTTGAAGAGCTGGCTTTTGTGCAAGACATCCGACAAGTCATCCAGGATTTGTTTGATGCTAGGAAAAGCTTCTCCTGCAGTCTTCGCCATGACAATGTACTTCTGGAGACTATCCAAGGCCTTCTGAGATTCGTCATGTTGCCGGTCGAAGTCCAAGCCACTGAAGAGCAAGCGCACGTCCTTGCCCTCATACAATCTAGTGAGTTCCCTCCGAATTTTGGCCAAATCCGGAGAGGGAGTCTTGAAAGTCTTGAATTTCTCCATCACTATCCCCTGGCTCCAAACCAAACACTTTCCTTTTGGAACATTCTCTGAATCTCCGATCTTGCAATCCTGCTTCAGCATAAGATCATCAGTCAGCATGCCTTTCACCTTCTCCAAGTCTTCTATTGAAGAGCAAAGCACGACACGAATGACCTCTTGACGCACTGCCTGCTCCAGGAGCTTCTTTGCCTCTTCTGCTCAAGCGTGGGCATCTTTCACCCGTCTCTCCCAGAAGATCTCCGCACTTTCGAACAATCGAGCAATGTCCGAGAGAAGAGCTTGCACCTTTCTCTGCTGTATCCTGTCAGCTTGCCAGGCATTCACTATCCAATGCATGGAGAATTCACGATGACCTGCGGAATCATCACTGGCCGGGCGCATGTACTTGAAAAATCGCACCAGTTGGTCTGGCATTTTCAGGCTATCCATCTCCCCTTCAGACTCGCGGACGCTTTCCCACCTCTGCATGAGCACTCTTGCAGCATCGTGGATGAGCGTAATCTCCACATCTGGATGGAAAAGAGTCCGCACAACATCTGGAATGTCCTGAAAAATATGAAAAATAACAGAAGCATAGCCATGACAGCACATGAAGAGAATGGTTCCTCGAAGCCTCAAGAGCTACCACGAGCATCCACAAGCCGACTACTACTACTACTACTACTACGACTACTACTACTACGACTACTACTACCACCACCACGACTACCACTACCGCTACCGCTACCCCTACCCCCACCACTACCACTACCCCTACCACCACTACCACCACCACCACCACGACCACCACCACCACCACCGTCCTCTTTGATGATCTGGGGCAGCGATCGCCACGTGTTTGTGAGTACATCCAGCTGAACGATGAGGATTTCATCTCTGAGTTCCGCATTGTCACGACCCGAAAAGAACTTCCAAAGCACTTCATCCGTCGCCGGATCGAAGCGTTTGTGAAGCTGCAATGCCTTCGAAGCGAAGTCATCATGGTGTAGAGCAAAGCCTGTAGAGATGAGTGCTTGTACCAAGTCACACTTGGTCCGGAAGAGCAAGCCGTGGCTCAAAAGCCCTTCCTTCATATCGCACACCTGTTGTCGCTCCACAGACTTATGTGCTGCCTGTTGCAACTCCGTCCAGGTAGGCAGTAGCTCCGCAATGATCAACGACTGCGCCACGGCCTTCTTCACCGTCTCGTTGGTCTCCTTGGGCTGAGAACCAAAAACAGGAACATCTCACTGCTGAAGCATGTTGAAGCACCCATTGGGTGATCAAAGCTAGAAAAATGTGTAAAATTCACAGTTCTGACCCAGGCTTTAAAGAGTCTTTGACACTATGAACTGCTCGTTCCGGCACTGACGGTAAGTCTCCTCCACGTGGGTGGAACGACCCTTACAGCGGAAGGTGAGGAAGCCCGTCGTGTCCACGTCTTCCTCTTCGGCCTCCATGAGCAAGTCACGAATCTCGACAAAGCCACTGATCTTTTTCATCGAACCATCCTCCTCCATGAGCTCGATTAACAACAGTTGGTCTCCCACTTGAACCCCGCAGTTCTGCAATGCCATTGCAGATCCCTGACGAAGCTGAAAACAGCGACTGAGAACTTAGGACTCACAGCACTCTCGAAACAACAAAAAATGCAGCCCAGTGAAATGACTTGTTCCCAGCACGACCAGAAACTAAACAGTTTGTCAAGCATCATCGTCATCATCTTCAAAAGCCGTGATCGTCATAGGCTCCCCAGGATTTTCATTGTCAAAATCAAATTCAAGATCCATCAGCACTTCGCTAAGAAGATACTCCACACGAATATCCTGAAGCGCATCTCTGTGCTGGTCACACTGTGCAATTGTCAATGCTTTGGTCACTGCTTAATTCATCTGCTCTTTTGAACGCTTGAATACATTCTAAAAACCAAGCCTTCTCTTGGCGAATCGGCTGTAGAAGGTTTGAGAGGACCCGCAAATGCAAGTCGGGGTCCGCTTGAAGGATTCCTGCATCGGCCCGGTTCACGTCGGAGCAGAATGCAGGAGATCTTGGGTGACATAATTCAAACATTTTACATGTTTTCATCATGCATATGGCAAACTGCCATTGAATGTTGAACACATCAAGTGTCTGATATCCTGTCATCTGCAGTTTCTCAGGTGTTGCTCTGCTTGCAGGCAGTTTCTCAGTGTCATTCTGTACACGGTTCGTCCCACCGGCGTCCTTTCACACCTGCCATCCCTGTGGAGCGCGCATTGAACGTCACCACTGTCAGCGTGCGATACTTCTCCGCAAAGGACTCTTGTAGTTGCACAGTGTCCTTAAGCTGTAGTGAACATACACGCGTGGGCACTTTAGATTTGCGGGGCCATCTTTGGAGGTCTACGGATGAGACTCAGATTCACTCTTGGAAGATGTACTCTCATCAAAGCATCACATACAATTGAAAAGGACCCCTTTGATTCTGCGTTTAGGGTCCGCAAGATCACCAATCAAGTTCGCAGCCCATTGGTATATGCTGGGATCATCCTTGCTGCCAAATTCTGCTGTTTCCATGGTGAATGTCAGGCCGCCCTCCCCTTCTACAATGCGCGGCATAAAGCGGTCTTGTTCCTCAGGAGCTTCAGCTGCATCGTCGACGTCTGGTGTCACACCTAAGCAAAAGGTGTAGGAACTACCTCCGCTCTTTGGTTGCTACACAGAACTTTTCACAGCATTGGAGCCAACGGTCGGTCCTGCGGCAGGGTTCCACCTGCGCAGTGTCCACTGGGGTTTCTGGCTCTCTGACATTCCCATAGGAGTGTTGGTCCAACCACCGGCATGCTGCAAAAGGACCTGCAAGCTGGTCGCGGCTGGATCTCTCGGTGCACAGCCAAAAAGGCATGATATTGAACTGAATCTGTGTCGATTATACCTCAGGTTAAATACATGTGTGACAGTTGATGTTTGTCAAAGGTGTGTTTTTGCCTCACTAGCTGCTTCCTCAAGCACCAAGTTCCGAAGCGTCGTGGTGATGGTCTAGTCTGGACGCGCAACTGTGTTTGGAGTGGTGTCTCCCACCTTGCTGCCAGCCATAATCGGCGTGTCAGAGGCGTCCCTCCTCCAGGCATGCTGCACTTTCTCACTTGTCATTGGTTGAAAATATCTAGGGGCACCCACATGTGCCCGCTTGACTCCCAAGGATGCGACTGATGTAGTTCTCATGATTACATTGTTATGGAATGAAGTCGACATTTCCGACCTCTTTTCCTGTCACGTTGTCCCCTTCCCTCTCCTGTCCTCTACAGGTCACGTTCTCTCTTGCGTCCCAGCTCATTCTTTTTACCCACGAGAAAACAGAGGGCCACAATAAAAAAGAGGCACCCCCAAGCAACTCAAAGCTTGCCGACTGCATTCTGTTCCCTCTCCTGTCCTCAACGGGTGACATTCTGTCTTGCGTTCCCTTCCACTCTTAGAGAGGCACATCTCACTTTCCTGACGGATTTCCGACCGCTTTTCCTGTCACGTTGTCCCCCCTTTCTGCCTCAACATGAACGCCCACCCCTTGTCGAAACACTGTCCAAATAGCCACCTGAGCCCCTCATGTGCACTATTTGGCTTTTCGGCGTCAATTACATCACTTGCATCACAACACCCGCTCTCCCCCACCAGGCTCTGGGTTCGCCCTACCCAACCTGGCCCCACACCCCCATCGTGGCTTTTGTGATATTGTGTAATTGAGTTGGCAACCCTTTTACACTTACACCTTTTCATGGTTTTTGTAGTGACCCCAAATAGATAAAAACCCTTGGAACCAAGTTTCATTTGGAGGCATTTTCAACAAGCTGACCACCTTCTACCCTACTGGCCTGACAAACTGTACAATGTACTCCCCACGAGCAGCAGCTTCCACGCCCGGGCGGAGTGACTTCCAGAGATCCATGTTGCTGTCGCCTTAGAGTTGTACTAACAATCCCTGGATGGAAATCACTTGAAGAGGATATCAAGGATATCAATCTATTAAGTCCCTTCTTGCAAATGTCACTTTTTCTCTTTAAGTCATTTCTTCAGCTTGAGGCTTCGGGAGGGTCTTTGGACAACCAAAGCAGGAAAAAAAAAAGGTTCCATTTGTCTAGGACCTTGTCTAGGACCTCTGGTTAAGAACACATCTTCTCTGGGTGCCGCACTGTGAGGGTCAGAGACACTGGACTGAGCCTTCACCATCTTAGACCCTTTGCCCTTCTGAAGTATCTCATCAACTTCTTCTCGGCTGGGCGTTTTCCCATTGATGGCAAAGATCCTCCAGCCACTGGAGTCCCAATCCTTCAGGCTTTGACCTCTTCTCTTGCTCACTCGCAGCTCCACGACCTCCAGACCAGATCCCATGTGGACAAATTGAGCGAAGCGGGACGCGCTGCGGTAGATCTCCTCGTGGACAAGCAAGGGCGAGAAGAAGGTGGCTGCTTCCTCGCTCCAAGTGGGTTGCAAACGAAGCTCATAGTTCAACGGATCTGTCTTCACTAGCCCAAGCAGCTCGCCACTGGTTAAAGCTCTCAAGCGCATCTTGTTGCCCGAGATCAACAAACCCTCATCACACTCCAGGACAAACTTCTGGTTGGCCAGGTCATTGGACATGTGGCCAACAATCCTGACCACTGGGCCATCTTTCCGACAACTCTTTAAAAAAAAAAAATATTTTTTTATAAAAAAAAAAATATATATATATATATAACGTGAGCCGGCACAATGAAACTGTCTGTCGCATGTTTTTGACATCTCCATCTGTGAGCTTCAGAGCTACTTCTTCGGTCCTGTCTCCCTTGCTGGTCAGTGAACGGCCCGTGGATCTGATTGACACCAAAGAGCCCGAGTTGAGGAGGGTGCGATGGCGGCTGCGAGCATTGGAAAAGTCAAAGCCTTCCACTGCCAGCAAGGCCTGCAAAGACTCCACCGGGGATGTGGAGTGGGTGATCCTCTGAAAAGAACACAAAAATTTAAAAGCCACTAGTATACTATCTCAGGGGCGGGGTGACATGTAGTTTGGCTTTGGGAGTAGTGTTATGATATCATAAGCTGCTAAGAACTCCAAAATCAAAGATTATTTGCCCTCGCTCAAGCTGCCTTTTTGCCGTGAAGCAAGGAGGTTTTTGCCAGTATGAACTGGCCCTGAACACGATCCTGTGGCAGGATCTCTGGGAACTTCTGGGTGTCTGTCGGATTCCTCATGGGAAGTGGCATCCCGAATCCCGACTTTGAGATGTGGCATCTCACACCCACAACATTTCCAACAACATTCTCAAAAACAGGCCTTTCTTTAAACTGAAAATGCCTCCTTTCCACGATCCCGCTCATTAAGAGCTCTCGACCGAAGGTTGAAAAGAAAATCAAAAGTGAAACCTAGCGAAACGCTGAAGCCGGAGTCGTTGAGTGTCTGTAAGACGCATGGCGGCCAACCGAGCAAGGCCATCACAGAGATAAATCCGTGCAACTTTGCTGGATTGCCAGCGTCCAAACAACAAGGTCTTCTCGAGGCTGCCCCCGGTCTCGAAGTGGTGCGTGGCGCCGCCTCGTCTGAGGCTGTAGCCTCTGAAGCCGTGTCCTTGCAGTTGAAAATGAGCCAATAATCTGTTCAACGAAGAACGGAAGAATTGATTCGACCGGTTCCAGATTGGTTTGTGCCAAAGTCGCTCTGGGATGAGTTCTTGTACGGTCTGAAGAATCATCAACACGCGAGAGTCGTCCAGACGTATAAATTCGTCTGAAGATTTAGCACTTTTGGTGTCAGTCAACCTGAGCAGCCCATGATGTCGTTTGATGAGAAAATCCTGAGGCGAAACGGTTAGGACCTCGCCGACTCGCCGGTTCGCAGACAGGCATGGAAGCCCAAGGCCAAAACCGCGGCTAGGCGGAAATCACCCTGAGCAATGCTGTAGCCTACAAGACCCCAAGGACAACAGGTGGAAAAGGTGGGGCGCGCTGAGGTCTCTCGACCTTTCTCCACACTTTGAAAAGCCTCCAGCTCTCCGGTGTCTGGTTCTTTGCAGCCGGCATGTAATGTGCCAGGCCACACAGAGCATCCGAGATGTGTCCCAGGGGCTGTCCATCCTCCCATTGCCGAGAGATCCAAGTTGCAAGCCGATCGTCTAGATCCGTCCACGAATGGGCTAGGTTCAAGATGACAAGGATGCGTTTCAGACCTGCATAGTAACGGCTGCGCGTTCGCTCTGCGATCGCGGCGTCCTCTAGACTAACGCCGGCACGGCGACGCCTGCGTTGGGCGCGCCAGCGGCTGGTCTGAGAACTGCCTCGACCCTTCATCAGTCGGATTGTCAAGTGAAGCCACGTGCAACAGGATGGGATACACTTGAGCCAACAAGAAATGGGCATTGAAACGGCGAACAAGTCCTTCGAGCTTGCGAGACGAGGTCCGTCCCTTGCAGAGGATGGCAATCGCGACGAACGAGTCCGAACAGTGAACCCATCTGAAGTTGAAGTGTTGTCGGTCACGGAGAACCCAATTGAGGGTGTTCAAGACCTGCCTCATTTCCAGGGCGTTAATGTGTTCTTCCAGCCGCCACTTGTTCTGAAAGAGAAACTGCCAGCGCCACCAGGCACTCGGCACCGACTGTCTAGCTTGCTGCTTACGTTCCATCAAATGCCCTGTAACGAGTTTGACATCCGAGCCAGTATGGTTGGTACGTTGGAGGAACACCTTGTTCAGGTCTTGCAGGGTCCTATGAAGAGGGCTCCCACTAATAGTCTCACCGTAGTTTAGCATTCGACACATCGCAGCAGTGGCTGCCCAGCCAGTAATGAATCCCGGGGCAAGACCCAAACGCTTGACTAAATGCTCGATGGAGAAGGACCCTGGTTCCCAATTAAAAGAACAAGCTAGAACAGCGGCAAAAGAAAGCATGCAGAAACTGTCTCCCACCAAAGTCTTCCTTGTGTCTTGATAGGATTGAAGGTCCAATTTAATCGCCGTCGCTCCCCAGCAAAGAGAGGTGTGCTCAAAGCCGAGCCCATGAGCAACTCCCTCTCTGAGGAGTCAATGGTACGCCATCTACCATTTCGCCACAACATATGTTCATCCCTATATTGATAAGGTGGGAACCTGAACCTGTCAGCCTCCCAGCGTCCTCGAGCGTCGTCCGAGCATCTCTGCAAACCCACCGGCCTCGGGGGGGGAGCGCTACGAGCAATGGCCTTCATGAAGCATGGAAAGGGGGGTTGAGCCACCCCGTCCCCCCATTGCCAACCTTCCCTGATCCATTGCCTCGGGGCGACTCCCGTGGCCGACATGACCACTTCGATGAAGCCCTCCTTCTCGGAGAAGTGCAAACCTGGTAGTTCTTGGGGACCGAAACTGGTCCAAGCCATCAAACCGGCAAAGTATCACGAGCATCTAGCTTCCAAGGCCGTGTTCCCACCAGTCGACTGATTTCGTCTCGAGCTTCCACATCCATCGAACTGACGTTCTCGTAGATGTGATGAATGACCACGCTCGGCGGAAATGTTTTCCGGATCAACTTGGCCACACGAAGTGCTTCGAATAACAAGGACGACTGTGAACCCTCGAGATTAGTTCTGAAGCAGTTCACGGACGACAAGTCAACACATGGAAAGCCGCACCAGATATCTACTCGTTCGCAGCCGGCGAACTGGATAGCTAAAGTGCAAATCATGTCTTGATCGATTTTGCGAATGTCCCCCAAATTTCTTGAATGGGGCCACCTGCGGTCAGTAGTCCGAATTGCAGCTTTATTAATCTCCGAGTAAACGGCTCCTTCGATGCAAATGCCCAAAAGGTCATAGGCCCTAAACGCTCCTCCTATTCCGTTGAAAAGGGACACCACAAGAATCCGCTCTTTACGAGGAAGATGAAGGGGATCACTTACTCTGTTCAGGAAGGCTTGTCCTTCTGGTGTGAGTTCACGAGCGATCGCACTGGCCCCTCCCTTCTGGGATGCATCTGAACATGTAACAAAGTCTGCGACCTCTGCCGTCAAGTCTTGTTTGATGATCGGGAACAAAAGAAGGGCGTTCAACAGTTCACGACGGACATGCGGGAGGAGTTTCCTTCGAAGTCCCGGCTTAGCAATGTAGGTCCACACATTAGTAAAAACCGACATGGTCGGGCGGCGGAATGACATGATGAAAACAATTCTGCCAACCACTGTTTGTAGGTTCTTCAATGTAAAGTCATGATAAAGCATGAACAAAATCAACTTTGCAGTCTTCATGAAGCGCAAGGGTGAACCACCAATAAAACGGTTTCGGCCATCAATGAAAGCGCCAAGCTCGGTAGCCTCCTGGGACTGTTGAACCCGTTTCTTCTCGGAGGACACGATTCCCGCTCTAATCCAACCCTCTTCTGCTGCGCTGCGCCACCGTTGCCAAGGCTCTGGGTGCGCCTTGGCCAGCTCATATTCGTCACGCAATTGAGCGGATGCGAAATTGTCCAGGTACACCTGCCACCAATCTCTATGACCCGGTGCGACTAGGCCCGACAGGTTAACCATCCATGCAGGTGCTAGATGAGTTGGTGTACCGGGTCCAGGTTCGAGTTGGCTAAGATGTTCGCTGAGGCCTCCTGCATGAGCGACACGCTAGAGTGCCAGCCCATTGGAAGCACGGCACAGCAGAGACAGTACTGCTGATTCGGACTCCTGTTGATCTCTGCCCCATCACAAACAATGCGGAACGAGAGGAACTTCTTCCAACAACCGGGGATCTTGAAAAGATAGAATGCTGCTGACATGTCTGACTGCGAAGTTTCCAAAACCTCCGACCCTGTCATCACGATTGAAGTCCAACCATGGATGTCAGGTAGACTGCCATGACCTGCTTCCAGTGGATGAAAGAGTCGGTTGCAGGGTGTTAAATTCATAATTGTCCTAAGGACGGTCAGTCCCGAGGGTGTCAGGGAGTCCTTCTTGACACCAAACATGCCGTTAAAAAGTTTCCTACCCTTATGTTCGAAAACTTCCTCAAGAGGGATCCAGTCACAAACCCCCCGAGAAACAAGAGCCCTGGCGATCTCAGTCTTCTCTCTATCTGCAATATGGATCTTCGCCTCAAACTTGAAGTCATCAAACAAACGAGAATCTTTCAAAAGTCGATCCGGCGAGGTCAGCCAGGATCTGCTTCCCGGGGTTAGGTGTTCAAGGATGTCAATTTTTCCTCCAAAACCTTTTGGGGGCAAGGCAGGTTCCATCTGTTCAAAAGTGAGGGTTTGCGCAACTTCGACCTCTTCACCTGTATAGTTCACATGAGTCCTGAGCAGCTCTTGAACGCAATCTTTTTCAAGCCAACGGAGGTCCTGGTGTGGAGCGAGACTCCGCCTGAGCGTGGATCGCATCTGGTCCAACGCTGCTTTCTGTAAGGCAGTGGTCTCGCCTGGTGGCAAAAGTGTCTTGTGTCCCGCCAGCAAGTTGCATCCGGCGGAAACGCACAACAACCAAGGTTCCACACCTTCCTCTCCTGTCGCCTGGTGGTGGGACGCAACGGGCTTCAAAGATGCCCTGCGCACAGCATGCAATCCTTCAACCTCCAACGAACTTGGCTGCGGCTGTCTCCTCAAATGTTCAACCAACCCGGGACTCACTCCTGTCGGCACGGGAAGAAGTGAGCGGGGGGAGCAAGTTGTGCCCCTCGTCGCCCGGTGCTTCACGGCTTCAAGTCCCAGCCAAGTCCTCATATTCTCTGCGCCTCCTACTTGGGTCAGCCTTGTGATCAACCAAGCAAGGCTAGCGCCCAATGTATTCATAGTGTGCGCCTCCTCGAGGATCATCTTCAAACATGTCCGCTTCAATTGTCCGTCTTTCCTGGAGGTGGCTCTTGAGTCTGCCTCCAGTCCTTGGCCTGCCCTTTGTCTTTCCCTCCTTTTCCTTTGCCTTTCTTGCTTTTGCCTTTTCCTCTGCCATCTCTGCCACCATCTTCCTCGTCTTGCCACGCTCTTCCTCCTTTGCCCAACGGTTGCCAGCGCCTCGGGGTGATCCCCAGCGCACGGTCCGAGATCTTGGCAAACTTCCTCGCCTGCAGCACGATGCTCGTATTGGAGGCTTGGATCGCCATGATCCTTGCCGCCACCAGGTCGCCCAGCTGGTCCAACTGACCTCCTCGACGTAGGTCCAGCGCCTGCAGGAGACAATAAATCTCGCGGGCTTCCTTCATCCGACCTGCCACCTGAGGTTTGACAATGAGGTGCCAGTATTTGATCGCTGACACTCCCCCGGTCACTGTTGTCGCCTCCTCCGTCTCGCCCTCGTCGAGGTTCTGCAAGGACTCCCTCATGTGTCGAACGAAGAGCTTCAAGACGGAGCCTGCTCGCTTTTGACTCATCCGCTCCAAGGGCGGGGTGGCCTTCTCCATCTCCGTCTTCTCCCTCTCTTCTCCTGACGTGCGACCTGAGCCACTCTCCGAGCCCTCGCTCTCCGAGTTCTCGCTCCCTGGGCTGTCGTCTGAGCCCTCGGGGTCCTCCGGGTCCGACTTCCTCCTCTTGCTCTTCTTCTCCTTTCTCTCTCAGGGATTCTTGTACGTCTTCAACCCCAGCCCCTTGGCAAGGGTCTGCATCAAGGCCATAGCCGTCTTCTTTGATTTGCTCTTCTTCTGACTCGCACGCTTCTTCTTGGGTGGTTTTGAGGCCTTGTGTACGAGCTCTGCCAAGACTCCCCCTGGCGGTCTGTCCTCCTTCTCCTCGGCCTCCTTCTTCGAAGGCTTCGTAGTAGTGCCTCTTATATCCTCTCCTGCCTCTGTAGCTCTCCTCTTCACGTCGGGCGTGTCCTCTAGCGCCTCTCTCTTCTCCTTCTTCTTCAACTCGCCCTGCGGTGGTCGAAAGACATCGAAGGGCTCTCCACCAGCTCCAGCTCCATTTCGCCCCTCTTTCGAAGGGCGTCCAAGCCTTGCCTTGAGCTTGCCGAGCGCCGCCCTCAATGCCGGGCGGGCGCCAGGCCCGTCTAGCTCCTCTCCTGCCTCTTCTCGCGGGTGGTGCTCCTCGATCTCCTCTCTCCTGTTGTCCTCCTCTCTCAAGGACCGGGCCCTTTCCCAAACTCCGCCAGCAGGGTCCTCGTCGACTTCGTGCTCCTCCTCTCTGCTCCTCTTTTGTCCAGGCTTTCTCAACGCACCCGGACGCTCGTCCTCCTCGCGTTCTCTCCTGGGCGATCGTTCTCGACTGGATGAGGCCTCTCGACCTCCTTTCCCTTTCTTTCGATCCAGGTCCCGACGCCGGTGACGAACAGCTCGAGCAACGCTCGGGTCGGCCGCCTTCACGGGGTAGTCCGAGAGGGCATACTTGTGAACCTGACTGCAATGTCCTCCTATGCCAAGTCCGTCCAACTTGCAAGCTGTGGGTCCCTCGGTGGAGAAACAAAGGTGCAGGCGAGCCTTCTTCCGGTTGAAGATGGTTGCCAAGAGGGCTGAACTCGCCTGATCGTCTCCTCCCAGGCTGGCGACCTTGAGGGTGATGCCAGAGCCATCTGATAGCTCGACGGCTTCCACCCAAAACACTCCCCTTGAAGTTGAAAGCCCTTCGACTCCTGCCAGGTCCAACACCTCGATGACGTCGCCTTCGTTGAAGTCCTCGGGATTGCACGAAGCTGAATCCTCTTGAAGATGATACCTCACTGGATCTTTCTTTTTTGTTGATTTCGGGGCCATGATTGAGCTTCCCCGATCTCTTCCCCCAATGGGGGCACACCTCAACGCTCCTCCTCTTCTCGAGGCAGTGCCTGCCTCTCGAAGTGCTCACGTCCAAGCGGCCGATGGGTGACCCTGGCTTCACCGTCGTCTCGGCGGCGAGTGTGCTGCTGGTGCTTGGTGCCGCCTCGATGCTTCTTCCTTCTCTCTGAATGCTCCTCCTCCGGTCTGGATCGCTCGTCTGGTCGTTCGTGATGAGCTCGTTCACGATGTCCAGGGGGTGGCCGTGGAGGTGTCTTAGGCCTGGGCCTCGGTGGTGCTGGCGGCGATCGAGTTCTCTTGCCCTTTACTTTCGCTGCCGTGCCCAGCTCGGAGCTCCTCCGACTTGGCAGCGAACCGCAGCGCCCGGACCGTGCGAGCGCCGCGACGCACGCGTCTTCCGCGATGACTCGCAGCGCCGCGCTCGACCACTCCCGCCGGAGATCGGCTGAGAGGCTCTCGAGCGCGGCGCACGCGAGACACCACGAGTCTCCTTGCTGCCTCGCTCCTGAGCGGCACTTATTGCAAGTCAGTGCCGCTTCCACCATGAGCGAGCCCAGCTGACCGAGCCGAAACGGCCAATCGACGCTGAGCTCTGGCAAAACGTCAACTAAGACTACATTCTATACAGGTTTTGATATGGGTTTTGATTATATTGTTGGTATGATTGTTGGATGTGATCCAAAGTTCAATTCAATGCAGAATTTCAATACAGTGAAAAAATGATACGCATTTCAATACATGTGTTGATACAGATTTCAATATGATATAGGAATGCACACGTTTCTTTGAGGCCATGTTTAACACATATGGTGGGTTTGTGCGACCCTCCACACAAGCGTTTCAATGTCTGGAGACAAAATCCACCCTAGTCGTAAGCACATGAGACCTCACAATGGCTGCCACTGAGTTGAGCAGTAGAAAAGCGATTCCTACTCAAACAAGCGGCTGGGTCTTTGCGGCAAGAAACCGGCCTCTTTGATGATCAGAGCCACCTTGGCCCTTAAAAAGTTGGAGTCCCAGTGGGCCGCCGGCGGGAAACCTGCAAAAAAAGGACGGCCATTAACATGCACTTCTAGTTTCCAGGCTCCTAAACACAGTGATTATCACAGGGAAATGCAACCCCCACCTCTCCCTGGAAGAGCTGAATCACCCCGCTTCGGCCCACCCCTACCCGACCAGGCTGCTCCCCATCTTCATGGGAGCCGAGTATCGTGCATTTTTCGCCCATTTTGTTTTGTTGATATGGGCATTGTTGGAAGAGACAAAGACTAAGACCCGTTGTGAACATAGAAAAACTGTGCCAAGTTGTTGAGGTGCAAAGTCTGAGGCAATTCTCCTCATGTTCTGTGCAGTTTTTGGCAAGCTGGTTGGAGGCCATCGCTATTGGGCTGGAGGCCATCGCTGTTAAGTTGGAGGACATCTCGATTAGGTTGGAGGCCATTGCTGTTAGGTTGGAGGCCATCGCTACTACAATGGAGGCCATCGCTATTAAACATTGGAGACCATCGCTTTTAGGTTGGAGGCCATCGCTGTTAGGTTGGAGGACATCTCGATTAGGTTGGACGCCAGGTTGGAGGCCATCGCTACTACGTTGGAGGCCATCGCTATTGGGTTGGAGGCCATCGCTATTGGGTTGAAGGCCATCGCTCTTAGGTTGGAGGCCATGGCTGTTAGGTTGGAGGCCATCTCAATTACATTGGAGGCCATCGCTCTTAGGTTGGAGGCCATCGCTGTTAGGTTGAAGGCCATCGCTCTTAGGTTGGAGGCCATGGCTGTTAGGTTGGAGGCCATCTCAATTGCATTGGAGGCCATTGCTCTTAGGTTGGAGGCCATCGCTGTTAGGTTGGAGGCCATCGCTGTTAGGTTGGAATAAATCGCTATTAGGTTGAAGGCAATCGCTATTGCATGGGAGGCCATCGCTATTAGGTTGGAGGCCATCTCTATTGGGTTGGAGGCCATCTCCATTAGGTTGGAGGCCATCGCGAGTAGGTTGGAGGCAATGGCTATTAGGTTAATGGCCATCGGTCTTAGGTTGGAGACCATCGCTGTTAGGTTGGAGAACATCGCTCTCAGGTTGCAGGACATCGCTGGTAGGTTGGATGCCATCGCTAGTAGGTTGGAGGCCATCACCGCTATTAGGTTGGAGGCCATCGCCACTATTTGGTTGGAGGCCACCGCCGCTATTAGGTTGGAGGCCATCGCTAGTAGGTTGGAGGCCCTCGCTAGTATGTTGGAGGCCATCGCCGCTATTAGGTTGGAGGCCATCGCTTGTAGGTTGGAGAACATAGCAAGTAGGTTCACTAGTAGGTTGGAGGCCATCGCTGTTAGGTTGGAGGCCACCGCTATTA